AAAAAAAAAAAATTCTACTCCGTCTGTAGCTTATAGTACCTTGACTATTTTTACCTTTTCTTACTAACTTCATTTCTTATTTGATTAGCTCATTGTGTCAGATGCCAGGGATCAGCTTGACTCAGCTCATCTCATCCTGTTCAGAGGCAGGTCAGGTTTGGTACAGACAGAAGCTTACATAATTTGGGAGCCCTCTTTAGAGAAAAGAATAAAAATATCACAAATGCAAAATTAGGTAAAGCATTAGAATGACAATAGAAATCACAATAAGTTAAAAAAATTTTAAATGCTGACAAATTCCATAAGTAATACAAATGCCAGGAAAATTACATAATATTTTTATTAATTAACTGCCTGACATACCATTATAATACTTTTCTTCTACATTTTTTTAGTTTAATGCTCTTTAGTAGCTGCTTTATACAACAGCTAGTTTGTAATATCGTCTTCTATAAAGAGAATAGAAAAGTGATTCAGCCTTTCTTGCAATATAGTTGATCCAAATTTGTTTTACATGTCGAGGTTTGGGATGCATGAATCATCACAGCCTCATATACAGACATACTTGCTGATGTTAGTACTGCTACAGGGTTGTGCCCTAAAGAATTTTGATCAATTCTATTTCACACAATTTCCATCACAAAAGAAAGACATATATCGTGCGCTGATAACTGTAGATGTTGCATCATCATATATATTCCAACTGGAAGGCCACGGTTATGCCTAGGCTTCAAAGCAAACTGAATACTCTGCTTACAATTTTATACATCTGACATTGGGAGAATTTTCTATAGACTAGCTTAGGATATTCCAAACACGTTTTTCCACCACTTACCTACACAATCCTGGTAAGAGGTGCGATAGGACCCATTCATGTTGTATAAACCTTGGCTTTGCACCTTTATGTCAAGATGCTGGGTGGGTCAGCATAGTGGAAGCTAGAAGTATTCCTGGAAGCTATTCCTTCACCAGGACACCTAGCTATAATTTAACTAATCACAGAAATGACTGCAAACCACATAAATATATCCTACAAAACCTAAACTAAATGTATCACTAACTTTCCTTCCCCTTACCAGGATCCTATGATACCCACAGCCACTCCAATATATGCAATACAAGGGCAAGCACTACAGAGGGGACGGCAAAAGGCAAAAGCGTACAGTTAAGTGAGAGTGGCTAAAATATCTTTATTTTACAAATTTTGCAAAAACGTATGACTTGTGAACACATTGCTAAGGCCTTTCCCAAAGCCTCGCACAGACCTGTGCAAAAAATGGGACCTGAAGCTTCAGCATTCCCAGCCTCAATCAATCTGCTCCTGGTCCCATCTTGCCTCACTTGTTGAATGCTCACCCTGTGAGCAACACACGGAGAGGCATATACGACTCCACACGGAAATAAACCACGTGATTTACAAGAGTCTGCTTCTCCAGAAGAAAAAAAAACTTTCACTTTGTCTACTCAAGGTCAATAAACTTTACAATTGGAGCTATATTCCCCTGAGTCTTCAGGAATCTTCAATAGAATTGTCTGGGGACAATGAAGGGAAATGACTTATTTGACAGAACAAGGAACAAATACTATGGAAATGAAACCCAGGCTCAATCAGTGAGAATGTTCTGAGTGCCAGCTCGGCCAGCCCGCCATGATGGCTAGCCCAGGGCTGTTATCATAGGTGTGAGGTGGGCAGGGCCGCAGGTCAGGCCTGGAAGAAAAGAGGCCCCAACAGAAGAAACGGAAAACATCAAAGATGAACCGTGCTATCTCGACAGTTTATGCCTAGGACGGGTCTGACCGAGTGCCCTAAAATAAATCTAGGTGTAGAATCCGATGCCAGCCTGGTAGGTTTGCATATACACAACCAGAAGGAAAACAGGCAGTACTAGAAAAGTCTGTTAGCTCCCTCCATAAAATTTATTATGTAGGGATTACATAATGGATTGGAGCAAGGCTTATTTGTACCCAAAGGCAGGCGTGATTAGATGACTTCTTAAGGCATTCATCATGAATCTTTGACACAATCTGAGAGAAGGATGAAAATTTGTTCTCAGAGAAAGATGAATGACAAATATTGTAGGTTTGAGGACTATCCTTTTAATGCCCTCTATAAATCATACAGGCTATCCAAAGCCTTTCAGTATTTAAGATGTTATAATTTTCCCACTCGAGAGAGCAGAAAAGAAGCAGTGACACAATTTTAAAAATGCCTTGAAAAAACCATAGAAAACTCACCAAAATATTTATTCTCTAGTAATTTTTTTTAGGTTCTTCTTGAGTAATTTTTCCATTTCTATTTGAATAGGAGTATAACAGAATTTTGCAAATATGCTTAAGTAATATATAAAATCTGAATTTGTAACAGGCAATTAAGCTAAGAAAACCAACACTTCTTTTGCAGCAGTCTCTAGATAAAAATTACAGCTTTGATGATCCTTAGAACACTAAATTAGAAAAATCATAGAACTTCAACTGTACCTAATACTTCCTTTTCCTAGGAGATTCGACCTCCTGGCAAGTTAAAGCTTTCCTTTTCTTTTTATTTCTCCTTTGTAAATGTGACGCTCCAGACAATTTTCTCACGTTCATTATCCTGGTGACGTCACTTATTCCATGGCAACGCTTTGCCAGTCTATTGTAAATAAGCTAAGCAATTCTTGGCTGCTTTTTTTAAAAAGCTTTATTATATAGTGCCTTAAAATGTCAGATATTATATCTATTTATTTTCCCACAAGATTGAATGAAATATTAGGGGTGGGATACATTAAAACATGAGCACAAAATGAAATTTAGGTCAAACTGGGAAGGTCAGAGAACATGCTAGAGATTTTAGTAATCAGTGCCAAGATTATGTAATCACAACGCTCTCCTTTCCAGCTCTTCACACTTGATATTTATGAACACAGGCTTAGCTAAATGTCACCTATGGAGGTAAACAGCAACAGTGGCTTTTGAAAATAGAGCTTTCAAATAATGTCATTATTTTAAGAAAAAAGATCTGATATTGCAACTACATAAAACTATATTTACCTATCAACAGGACTGGAAAGTAATATGCAAAAACAATAATAATAAGTGGAGTGCTTCAAGGGTGAGAGAGTAATATTAATTTTCAAAAACTTTTTTAATCTCATTCTCTCAGCATCTCCGTACAATGGTTTGAAAATGGGTCCATTATCTGGTTAGGAAAAGAGAGTTGTGTGGTCCGCCTTTGCTGGCAGAGGATGCGTCGTGACGAGACCTCTGTGCATCTGGAGGAAGAGAGTAGCTGTGCTCTCAAAAGAAAGATTAAACCTGGGAATTTATTTCAATACCTCACTACAAAGGAAGCAGTAACAGAAATAATTTTATAAACTTAACATCTCTCAAGACAAGAGGACTAGAGTATAAACAGCTGAGCCCTCTCCCCCAAACTGCCCCAGAAATTTCTTTTCACTTGTTAGCTCTGAAAGAGAAAGACAGAGTCTGTTCCCAGTGAAGGCTGTCTACAATAGAGGCCATATAGCCTTAATTCCAAGTTCTAGAGAGCCATCAGTAAGCTGGAGGACTTTGCAAGACTTCTGTAAAATGATAAATAATCAATTTCATTCTTTAAGGGTTAGAAAAGAGAGTACAGCACCGAAGAAGTAAAAATGATATCGTACCACCTTAATAAAGTGTTTGTCTGATTCTGAATTTAAGAAATAGAGTGTTATTTCATCTAAATGCTTAATTGTATTTAATCAAGAGTTAAGACTTGGGACAGGGGAATGATAACCAGGTTTAAAACATACTTCATGAATTAACAGAACTGTGACATCACAAAAGATTCAGAGCAGTTTGTAGTGTGCCTCCCAAGTCTTGTCTGTTTCTGAAACAGTTCCGATGGTTTTATCTCTTGTTAAGAAGATACACTTAGGGGGGAGGGAGGAGGGTGAAAGGGATAATTCGGTACATGTTTGTGGTGATGGGTTGTAATTAGTATTTTGGTGGTGAACATGATGTAATCTATGCAGAAATAGAAATATAATGATGTAATGTACACCTGAAATTTTTACAGTGTTATAAACCAATGTTACTGCAATAAACAAAAAACTACAAAAAAAAAAAAAAAATACACGAGGAAAATTCCCTACCTCCCTCTCCCTTTCTTTCTCTTATTCTTTCTGTCTTCTCTCTTTCTCTTTCTGTCTCCTGTCTTTCTTCCTTCCTCTCTATTTATCTATCATTTATCTAGTTATCTAGCTATCTATCATCATTTTCCCGAGTTATCTCTTCTCTCTCTCTTTTCTGAGGGACCAGAAAATTGGGTTAATGCTATGGCTATGTAAGCAGTTAAAGACTGTGACAGGGAGAAACTGTCATTAAAGCTGAGACTTTTCAGATCTGACTTTACCCTGTATTGACACTTTTTTAAATTAAGGTATAATTGACATATAACATTATATTGGTTTCAGGTGTACAACATAATGATTCGATAGTTGTATATATTGTGAAATTATCATCACAATAAGTCTAGTCGACATTTGTCACCATGCATAGTTACAAAATTTTTTTTTCTTGTGATGAGAACTTTTAACATTTACTCTCTTGGCAACTTTCAAATATGCAATACAGTATTATTAACTCTAGTCACCATGCTGTACATTACATCTTCATTTATTTTATAACTGGAAATTTGTACCTTTTGACCCCCTTCACCCATTTCATCCTCCCCCACCATCACCACCTCTGGCAACCACTAATCTGTTCTCTATATCCATGAGCTCAGTTTTTTGTTTCGGGGGGATTTTTTTTTAGATTCCACATGTCAGATCATACAATATTGGTCTTTCTCTGTCTGGCTTATTTCACTTAGCATAACGCCCTCAAGGTCCATCCATGTTGTCACAAATGGCAAGATTTCACTTTTTTTAATGGCTGAATAATATTCTGTTATATAGATAGATAGATAGATAGATAGATAGATAGATAGATAGATAGATAGATAGATATAGATATATACACCACCTTTTCTTTACCCACTCATCAGTCAATGGATACTTAAGTTGTTTCCAAGTCTTGGCTATAGTAAATAATGCTGCAGTGAACATGGGAGTGCAGATATCTTTTCAAATTAGTGTTTTTGTTTTCTTTGGATAAATATCCAGAAGTGGAATTGCTCGATCATATGGTAGTTCTATTTTTAACTTTTTGAGGAACCTCCAAACTGTTTTCCATGGTAGTTGCCTATGTTGCCTCTTGTAGAGACTAGATCTCCCAAAATCTTCTAAGATAGGATGCTAAGCCAGAACTTCTTTACAAAACTGTACATAAGAGCAAATACATAAAAGAGTTTTAAGCTCCGTATGAGAAAAATATCACATAAATAAAAGATTCAAATTTCTTTTAATTTAGCAGTCTTTGACATGCAGTATTCCAGTGTAAGCCATCTATTTCCTTTCTCTTTTACTTTAATGAGTAATAAAATAAAAGCTAAACATTCCAAAGATTTCTACCTATTATGTTCCCCCAAACATTACACATTATTATTCTACACACTCTAATTTTTGAGTTAAAGAGATGAACTAGTAAGAAAAAGTGTAGGAGATTTTTGATATTGATAATCTGACAATGTGAAAGAAAACTTAGGGGAGGGACTGTAGGAAAGCACCTCAGGAAAAGAAAAAACAGGGAAAAAATTAGGTGAGGAAATTAATTACCTATGGGGTAAGGAAAAGGAGCATTGCTGAAGGAGAAAAATAAGGAGAAGGTGGTGAAAAAATAATTGAGGGTTGATTAGCCCCCATGGGAAGGTCCTTGAGAGGAAGTTGCTTGTGGCATGATTCTGAAAAAGCAGTATCTATGCACGTAATAGTCACCAGATTCTCTCTCATAGAATTATCTTGTTGTACCTTGAAATATCTTAACTTTTGATGAGTGAGAATCTGCTTTTCATCGAGATAATAACTACTTTGAGGCTGCTTAGTAGAAGGGACAATTTCGATGGCTTTTTATTTTCCACTAAAATAATTAATTTTATGGCATTGAATTCTATTTCAAAAGCAGTAAGCACAAATTATTCAAATATTACTTCCAATGCATAGTAATTTTTTGTAAATGGAACTTTTGCCAAAAATATCTTAACTGGCCAAAATGTGAATCAAGTCAAGAAAGTAAAATTCACAAAATCAAAGCAAAGTACATTCTAGAAGTAGAGAACAGAAACAATAACCCCTTCCCACCAAAAACAGAGCCCTCTTTGAAAGAAACTTTATATTGAAGCCCACCAAACCATGGGTCTGGCAAATCAGCAGTTGGAATGAATTCCCAAGGGTAGAGAGGAGGTTACTCTTGAGAATTTTGCTGTGCCATTTCTCGAAGATTCCATTTTGAAAGACAGTGTTTAAAGTATACCAATCACCATTGCTCTAGTGGAATTTAGAGTTAAAGGCAGTCTGATGAAAACAGATGACATGATCTGCCATAGTAATCTCAATAACTGTTATCAGCAATACTGCAACTCTTTCCTTGAAGCAAAAAGGAAACCAGTTTGGTTTGTAATGTAGGTCTTATGGATATCTTCTGGTCATGATTGGATACTGCAAGGTCAAAATATGGTAGCCAGACAGGTGTTTCTAAGCAGCCTAGCTTAGAAAGATGGCCAGTATAGTTGGAGTCTTTTATGTCTAATTTAAATAATGTTAGAGAAAATAATCCTATGTGGTCTTGAGCAATCCACTAAACCTCTTTAAATTTGTTTTCTCATCTGTAAAATGTGAATAAAAATACCTACCTCATTGGATAGTTGTGAGAAATAAATGAGATAATGTTTACAAAGCATTTAACAAAGTACCCAGCTCATATAAATGACTTCAATAAACGGGTAACTATAATATGTGAATAATCAATCTTGACCTATCCTGCCTTGCCGAGATTGTTCTATGAGAATGGTTTTTGAGCAGATGACTGATCTAAGTTAGGAAGGGAATTTGAGAGAGCAGATCCAGGATATTGCTGGGAAGGCAAAAAGTCTGATCAGAATAACGTAGTAGAGGCAGCAATACTTAGGCAAGAGCAAGAAAAAGATAGAAGAGAAAAATCATGACGAATATTTTCAGAACTCATAATTACTTTTTGCTAAGAGATGCAGGACGTACTCTGGATTTTGATCATAGATTTCAGGGAATTCTTAAAGCTGGAAGGGAACTTTAAGAGACCATTTATCCAATCTTGTTTCACAGATGAGGAAACTGAGGACTGGACAGATGAAAAACTTTTCTAAAACTACATGATTAGTTAGTGACAACAGTGGGACTCAGAACTGCTGACTTCTATTCCAGTGTTTTTTCCATGACTTAACACCCTTTGTCACATGAAAGCGAGCAAGACGTCACGAGAGGTTTAGAAACGTCCGAAGGAATGTTTGCTATTAGGAAGCAACAGGAAGAAAAGCAGAAGACTGGAAGCCAGGAGGAGTTCATGTAGACCCTGGTCCACTTTTTTGGTTTTCCCATGTGTTAATGGAAAGGAAAGAGCAAGGCAAAAATATTTCCAAAGAGGGCTCATAGTAATAGCAGATTTACAAGAGAAGATGTACACTTGCTATGTATGATGGACTTTCAGGGACAACTTTGTAACAGTTTCAGTGCAAATGATGTGCATACATTTAGTTAAATTTCAGAAAGAGCTCAATGCACGAAGGACTGTGGGATAATTATCAGAAACACTCCAAAAATACTAAACAATAAAGAATTTGCTATCATTTAAAAATCATGAATGTAAGCAATTTTACAAAAAAAAGGGCTAATGAATCTTAAATTCTCTTTTTATTACTTCAAATTAACTTCCAATATTTGTCAATTTACAAATTGCATTTGTTATGGTTATGAGGTTTACACACTATTTAATATTTTTTCCCTTACATTTTTTTCGTATGTCGATTTTCACAAATCAGCCTAATCTATATACTTGTCAGTTTTAGTGATTACATAATCCATCGTATTGTTAGAGCATAATGTGTTTGTCTTGTCCCTTATTGTTTCCAGTTTTCTACTATTGTTAGAAGTGCTAATACAAACACTTTTGTTTAAATACCCACTCCCTTCCCACCTTTGGATTTATTTCCTTGAGGTTTATTCTCCAGTATAGAATTACCAGGTCAAAAAAACATGAATAACAATAGGTACTACTAATTGTGTTGCTGCTATGTGCCAGGCACCATGCGAGGTACTCCAGATATTATTAGGTTTATCCTAAAGACAACCCTATAAGGTAGTTATTATTTTTATCCCATTTTACCTACAGGCAGATCAAGACTGAGACAACTTGAGTGACTTCCCCATAGTGAGAGAGAAAGTAAGTGCTAGAGCTAGAATTAAAACCTAGTTCCACATGGCTCCAGAGACCATGCTCATTCCAAAACACTAGCAGTTCTTAAATGTTATGACCTCAGGACACTTTACCCTCTTAAAAAGTATTAAATATTGTTAACTAGACTTACTGTGGTGATCATTCCGTAATATATACAAATATCAAATCATTATGTTGCACACATGAAACTAATGTTATATGTCAATTATATCTCAATTTTAAAAAGTTATTGAAGGAGAAAAAACAAACTCTAGAGAATAAGAAAGAAATGTTAAATAAAGCGGTCATTTTCAATTACCAGCAACGAATAATTGAAATTGAAATTAAAAACACAATACCATTTATATTACCACCAAAAAAATGAAATACTTAGGCATAAATCTAACAAAATTTGTACACGACCTATATGAGGGAAACTACAAAACTCAGGTAAGAAATCAAAGAGCTAAATAAATGGAGACATATTCCATGTACATGGATAAGAAGACTCAACACTGTCAAGATGTCAGTTCTTCCCAGCTTGTTCTATAGACTCAACGCAATCTCAACAAGTTATTTTGTGGATATCAACAAATTGATTCTAAGTTTCTATGCAGAGGCACAAGACCCGTAATAGCCAACACAATATTGAAGGAGAACAAAGTTGAAAGACTGACACTATCTGACTTCAAGACTTACCATCAAGCTACAATAATCAAGACAGTGTTGTATTGGCAAAAAATAGACAGATCAATGGAAAGAATAGAGAGCCCGATATAGTCAACTGATCTTTGACAAAAGAGCAAAGGCAATTCAATGGAGAAAGGATAGTCTTTTCAATAAATGGTGCTGAAACAACTGGACATCCTATACAAAATATAAATCTAGACATAGACCTTACACCCTTCACAAAAGTTAACTTAAAATGGATCATAGACCTAAATGTAAAATGCAAAACCATAAAACTCCTAGAAGAGAGCAAAGGAGAAAATCTAAGTGATCTTGGGTTTGGCATAACTTTTTAATTTATTTTATTTATTTATTTATTTTTTTTTTTGTGAGGAAGATCAGCCCTGAACTAACATCTGCCAATCCTCCTCTTTTTGCTGAGAGAGACTGGCCCTGGGCTAACATCCGTGCCCATCTTCCTCTACTTTGTATGGTATCCAAAGTATACAAAGAACACTTAAAACTCAACGATAAGAAAACAAACAACCCAATTAAAAATGGGCAAAAGATCTGAACAGACACCTCACCAAAGACATACAGATGGCAAATAAGCATATGAAAAGATGCTCAACATCAGATGTCATTAGGAAATTGCAAATTAAAACAACAAGATATCACTACATACCTATTAGAATGGCTAAAATGCAAAACACTGACAACACTAAATGCTGATGAGGATGTGGAGCAACAGGAACTCTCATTTACTGCGAATGGGGTTGCAGTATGGTACAATCAATTTGGAAGACAGTTTGGCAGTTGCTTTTAAAACAGTTTGGGTGTTTCTTACAAAACTAAGCATACTCTTATCATATGTTCCAGCAACTGCACTCCTTGGCATTTACACAAAGGAGTTCTAAGCTTATATCCACACAAAAACCTACACACAAATATCTATAGCAGGCTTATTCATAATTTCCAAAATGTGGAAGCAAACAAGATGTCCTTCAATAGGTGAATGAATAAACAGAGGTACAACCATACAATGGAATATTATTCAGTGATTAAAAAGAAATGAGCTATTATTAAGCCACAA